TATTAATACCAGATCACAGACATTTGCATCAAGTGCTTGTATTAATAAACTTTCTCCTTGTCTCAGTAGGATTGCACAATTGAGCTTGTTAGCAATGTTAGCAAAGTGACGCTGCTTCGTGAGGACTACTCCCTTGTCTTTAAGTTATTGAGCAGGTTACCTGAAGTATTTGCTTAAGCCAGAGGTTTGTGACCTTGCAACTTCGTTTGGAGCAACACAATATGAGCTAAATCACTGAATTTGGTCGCTGATCTCACCGACAGCGATACCAGTGTTAAACTGGGTCTAATAAGGCTACATATGTAATATTACCCACCTAATCCTTTCTGCATTCTGGATTTTTCTTTTCTTCTCACTGCCGCTTAGCAAAGCGTCCATATACTATGTGTGTTGTTCAGACAGAAAGTAACCTGCAGTAAGACCAGGGTATCTATCCTGCTCCAGTGCTACATGCTCTAGCTGCTCTCTCTCTCCCTGAGCTGCCTCTCTGCCTGCTCTTGTGTGAGTTGGTGTTGTGCCACTCGTGTGGTGAGGTGCTATGTGGGATGCCAGTGGCCTGCATGCTGGTAGAGTAAGAGGTTGGTAGAAGGTTAGCGGGTTTACCTGGTCCAAGGTAGAGTACCTTGACTTGAGCGTGATGACCTCATCCAGGTGAGCCCTGAATTCTCTCCGTGAGGCCTGGGGGGAGCCACAGGATAGTCACTCACCTTCATGCCACATGCACACGCACATACACACATACACACACACACGCTTGTGCAGCCAACAAGAATGCACACCCACCCCTGATCAATATGACATTTCAGTTAGTGGTGAAACACATTTGCACACAGTCTCCTCATTTTCCACACTAAAACACACACATGAGAACTGAGCCAGTACCAAGCCAACGCACATTCTGCAATCGTATGAAGGGAAATTTCAAAATAAAAGCATGTGGCTAACAAGTCACTGGAAGACACTAACCAACACTAACACAACACAACCAAAGATGGATGAAGAAACCAACAGTTCCAGTAGAGTGCTGCTACTGTTTGTGTTTGTGTGTGTGTGTGTCTTTGTGTGTGTGTGTGTGAGTTCAAGTGAAAGTTAAGAAGTTAACCCTAGTGAGTGCTTCACCTCCGACCCTACCCGAGGCCTCTCTCTGGCTACATGTGAAATTACAGCCTCACCAACGGTGATTTGTTTCTGAACTAGTTATCTTACAGCTTAGAAACTATTACACTTTCAGAAAAGAGGTAACTGATTGGATTCTGTTGGAGTATTTTGTATTTAAGAAAACAAAGCAACAATTATCCCTAAAGCATCCCTGAGATCTTTAATGTATAAGAGTCGGACATTGTTTTTTAAATCTGCTGCCAAACCCTTTTTCCAAAATTCATTACAACACAATTACAAGTAATCAATGGGTTTCGACATCCCACTGGACAAGTGTCAGCGCTATTCTATGCCCTTGTACCGAGGCTGTGTCTCCATCGCTCACAGAATCATTGGGCCAGAGTAACAAGCACAGCAGCTCTGTGAAGGCGGCTTCCAGCACATAGACAACAGCCTGCTCTGTTTACAAGCTGCTGTGTGTGTGTGAGTGAGAGAGAGAGAGAGGCCCCTTTAAATGAACTGAGGTGTGCACACAGAGGGAAAGAAAGGCACTTTGTTTTTGCAAGCAATATCACTTTCATTCAAATACATAATTCAAGCATCTTTCAACTTCAGCTCTGAGGTTGAAATGCAGGTTGAAGAATATGCCAAGTGATGGAGGAGGTGTGTTCGTTTTGTGGGGTGTGTGAGTGCGGAAACAAGGCAAAGGGTTAGATACAGAACTTGGACCAGAACGAGGGGCAACAGGACATTTGACTACAAGACAAGAAAAAATTAAAAATCACAACGATAACACAAGGGGAGGAAAAGAAAGGATTGTAAAAACGAGAGAGACAGCAGGAGTGTGGCAGGCAGGAGGGTCAAGAGAGGAGGGGGAAGCAATCATGCCAGGCAGGAAGTGAGAGGTGCAGTTTGAGAGGGGGGGGGGGCTGAAACTGATGCCATGATGACGGCCGTAACAGTGCATTAGAACAAATGCAGGAGTACCTCAGCAATGCTTAGGGTGGATGAACAGGAGGGGAGCCGCGCCTGTTGCCACGAGAGAGAGGAGGGGAGAAGAGAAGAGGGGTTAACGGAGCAAAAGCCAGGTCGAGCAGGTAGAAGGGCGGGGGGGTTGGAAGAGGCACACAGAGACTGACGGGTGGGGCGGACAATGCCCTCTGTCTTTCAGGAGGACATCGGTGCGACAGGTCTCTGTGTGACTGTCTCGGATGGGCCAAGGCAGACAAAGGGCATAATGGACAGGACAGGACAGGTCAGGTCAGGACAGGACAGGACAGGACAGGACAGGACAGGACA